TTTTAGTATCAAAGTATGGAGAGTAAGGTCCATTAAAAATAAATAAATCATCGTCGTATAAATCATTTGCAAAGATATTATTTTTAGTTTTAAAAAAGTCAAACCGCAACTTATCAAAATCTTTTGTTATAAAATCATTAGCCATGAATTCACACACGTGCAAGGGGGCCCGTAGGATTTTTTGATGTTCCAAATAGGACACTTTCACACATTGTGCAAACTCCAAACTTAAGTATATGCTAAACGAGGAAGTCTTGCAAAAAATTTAAAAGGCGGAGGCCTGGGAGCAAAAAAGCCTTAAAACGCCCCCTAAAAAAAAAAAGAGGAGGGGTGTAAATTTTGTATGGTCATAACTTATTTAATTTACAATATTTTTCTACGAAATTTTAAATCTATCAATAAATTTAAATTTAGTTTTAGATAGTAAAGTTAAAATTTTATTACATTAGTGCCCTCATTTATGCAGGAGGGGGGAGGGGTCAAGCGTTTTAAGGCTTTTTTGTTCCTAGGCCTCCACCATCCCAATATTTATAAAAGTTAAACTTAAGTTTTAGAGCTTGCACAAAAATTAATTTCGCACATTTGGCATAGGCATACTTATGTTTGGAGCTTTAATATACCTATGCTAAATGTGTGAAAGTGTCCTATCTAGAACATCAAAAAATCCTGTGGGCGCCCATGCACACATGCCACCCCTTCTCAAAATCTTCCAATTTTTACCGCTAGGTTTCGCTAAAATAAAAAGCTCCTTAAATTAACAAAAAGACACACAATTTTTGTCCCTTTTCCCCCTACCCCTTCCTTCCAAATTAAGGGGTACGGGTAGCCTATCCTCGGCACTGGGTTTTAGGCTTTGTTTTCGATATTACTGATCCTGCGTAGGGCTCATTTTTAACGGACTTACTATATAGGGGTGCCTAAAAAACAAAGCCGCCTCAAGTATAGTTTATTTTTATTTAATTCGTCATTGAAACGCAAACATTACCGTTCATATGATCCGGGGATCGAACACTGACCTCCGTCGCCTCAATCTGTAGAATTAACCGCTAGACCAAGGAAACACATTAATGTAAAGTAATTAAACTATATTCAAATTTATATTTGCATATATATTTGAAGAGGTTTGATAAATTTGAAGAGCTTTTGGGTCGTATGAAGTAGCTAAGGTACCTCCTTCACTTTTTTTTTTTTTATAAACTTTTTTATTGAAAAAAAAAGTTAGGGGGGGGTCAAAAACGTAAGTACTTTTTTAAGGGGGAAAGGACTTAGAAGTACGCATGGCAACAGGGGGGAGGGAAGAGGGTCAGATTTCAAATTTTTTGGCGTACGTACTTTATGGACGACCCCATATGATGAAGGATACAATTTAGACGTTTATACATACATTCCTAAAAACATCTAGTATTTATGGTGTTTTATTTATATGTATAAAACATTTTTTATGAAGTTCCACTTTTTAGTCAAAAATAATATTTTTTTTTATTACAAAATGTCATAATTTTATAAATACAGAAACATACTCTAACCAAAGTCAATAAAAATCATATTATTAACATTAACTTTAGAAAATAAATTTAACATTTGAACTTTTTAAAAAACTAATGCTTTAGTTAAATTTGTGACCAATTGTAATGAAAAACCAAAACCTTCATAAAGGAATTGAAAAGTTCAAAATCAAACAAAACTACACCCTACAGTATCGTCTAATACAACTAAGATCTACATTGTCTTAAAATACATCTTACAGTGTCTTTAACTACACCCTTAAGTGTCTACACATTAAAGTAATACTTAGTGTTGCACTACAGTTTCACAGGTTGAAACAGATGCCTTCTTATCCAAATTGAAATTAAGTTTTCTAAGCTGCATCTCACCCTACAACAAACGAACCCTTTTATCATTGTCAGTTGCAATGATTGCAACAAAACCCATATTTAACTTGACGCCGCACTTCTTTGCATCTTTGACAGCTTTAACTGTACAAACAAATTGCAATTCTAAATACTCAGTATTCAATGCTTAGTTGCACAGAGAGACAAGACTATTAAGAACCTTTTTTTGACACATTGTACATCAAAATAAAGTTTTTGGGGCTGGGAAACCCATTTTTCTAATCAGAAATAGATTTTGAGCACTCTAACCGGCTTGTTGCTAATAACTGAGAATAAAATGCAAACGTGAGGGCAATCACATAAAATAAATATTTTTACTACACTGTCCTAAGTTTAAGTTCATCCCTAGGTTTTTAATTTTATCTAATAATCTATTAATATTCGAAAGTTATGATCTTAAAATTTATAACCCCCTCATTTTGGAGAGGGCAGAAGTTTTAAATTGACACTAAAAGATAATTAGATAAAACTTAATCCTGTCGATAAACTTAGGTTAAGTATAAGATTGTAGTTCATTGTTAAAGTTCCTCCTGGTGAGCTGATAATTGGATCCAAGGAGTTTGGTTACCAGGTCAATGTATCTTTTTTTGATGTCTTACTCGTGAAAAACTTTCTAATGAACCTAAAGTTCTTGTTCCTAGACTCCTATTCTTCCTCAGAACATCTCAATTGCTTTTTGGCTCTTATCACTTGGTAATCATGGATCAGGAATTATTGTTTAAATTAGGAATGTAATACCATGAGAAATGTTTGACAAACAGCCAAGCAATTTTCCAGCAATGAAGTCGGGTTAGATGCTATTGTTGACAGACAAAACACAGAGGATATTGAAGCTCCTTCTCAACAGCTCTTCTACCAGGCCTAGTGCCTCAGCATCAATCGAGAAATTGATGCCAAAATCAGTCTTGAAATAATTGTCGTACAAAAATGAAAACAAAAATAGAAGATTTATAAAATATTAGTAATTTGCAAAGATAAATAAAAGTAAAATTTTTAAGTTAACTATTGTCAAATTTAAAAATAAATTTTCAGGCTAAATTTTAGACTCTTATTATTTGATGTTTCAGAACCTCTAAATCTAAAACATTTACAATTAGGACCAATTTTTCACTTATAGTTTTATGATCTTTTTCTTCTACTTCTCGTTTTTGTGTGTGACTAACGTTTTTGTGTGTGACTAACTGCGCCACGGCTGCTTATATTTGCCCTCGCATTTCTACCTTCTTATATTTCCAGTTTTTAACACTAAGACAGTGACTTAGTTTAGGTTAATTCAGTAGCACGTCTACTGCACAGTCTCCTGCCGCTGATTAAAAACACTAATTATTTACTTTTTAACTGTTTAAATTTTACCACTGATTTTCAATTACTTAGACAAAGTTGCTAATTAATTAAATAATTAGCAATTTTGATTTTTCACAATTTTGCGAGTAAAAATATACATTATATACATACACTTGTAATAAGGGCTGCTTGGGTTTGTATTTTAGTGTATTGGGTTTGTATTCTATATCTTAGAAGGACAACAATGTAAACTTCAAAATAAAATAAAAACATTTTCTTTAGGAATAAATCAAAATAGTTTATTAGTGCAAAATCATTAAAAAATTCAATTGATAAAAATAATACGAAATTTTTACAGTTTAAAGACTATTTACAGGCCCGTAGCAACAGGGGGGTCAGCAGGGGCATTTTTCCCCCCCCCCCCTAATAATTTTAAAAAATAAAAAGTTTTGAAGTTTAGAAAAGACCTAATTTGTGTCACCTACTACTATTTGATCTACCCAGTGGCGGATTGGGGCCCAAGGCTATTTTTTCGGAGAAAAAATGACTAAGAAAAAAATAAATAAGGTCCCCCGCACTGCCCCTCTACTCCCCCTCTAATATATCTAATACAAGGTTTGAATCCAACTGTTCAACAAGTAGTTTTTTTTTGCTTAAAGACCTAAGCGTCAAGGGTGTGCTAAAAGCTAACCCGTTTTATTTTAGTCTTTTCATTTTATTAGATGTTTCAAAACAGTTTTGAATGTTAATGATGGGATTAGTCAGTGGCGGATTAAGACTTGTTGGGGCCCAGGGCTATTTTTGTTTTTTGTGGACCAGAGCCTAAAAATGACTAAAAAAAAAAAAAAAGGTCCTCTTAAAATTTTTTGGGGCCCCAAAATTTGCGGGACCCGGGGCTATAGTCCCCCCAGCACCCCCCCCCCTCCCTTGATCCGGCACTGGTATTAGAATATTGCAATTGTTTTAATTAATAGAAGTTGATTTAAAAATACGTTGACATAATCTGTTAAAGTTATGTTTGGCGTTTAGCAAGTGTGGTAAACCCAGTAATATCCTTTGACTTATTTTTTTTATGAAAACGCAACAAAAAACTCAAAGAAATTCAAAACATCAGTAAAATGGTTTTCTTTACAAACGGATAACCTTTTCTATAATGATGAAATTTTTTCTGTGGCATTATTGTTTTCTCGCAGAACAATGAATGAAAACCCAACCTAGATTTATTTATTAGCCATACGTAAATTTGAATTGTAATTAACATTTATCAAATAGTTTGTTATAGCGTCGTAGCTTTTAATGTTGTAATTAAATATCTTTTTCTATTAAAATTACTTTTTAATTTGACAATCAGTTTCTAGTGACAAAACAAAAACAATAATTCATTATCTTGTTATAAAATGTTTTATTAAACAAAACATTTGTAATGAAATAGTTTTTATAATTTATTTAGCATTCTTACATATAGTGCATACAATATATATTACATACTCTAACTTTATTATTGTTTATTAAAGTATATTGAAGTTATTGATAAAAGATAAAATATATTGCGTGGAAAATATATTTTTCTATTTTATTAAACATTACAATATATATATATATATATATATATATATATATATATATATATATATATATATATATATATATATATATATATATATATATATATATATATATATATATATATATATATATATATATAAATATATATATATGTATATATATGTATATATATATATATATATATATATATATATATATATATATATATATATATATATATATATGTATATAATATATATAATTTTCATGATAGTTTACTTATTTGTTATTTTTTTCTGAAAGGATACTAATCATGGCATCACGACATATTGTAAACTTGTCACGTAATATAAGAGAGCTTCGCTTACACTTATGCCAGACATCAGAATCAAGTTTAGGCGCAAGAAATTTTATAGAGAAATACTATGTTGACATTAAAAGAAATAACCCAGAGCTTCCAATTTTAATTCGAGAATGTAGTGGCATTCAACCCAAAATAACAGCAAGATATGCTTTTGGTGTTGAAAAAACTGTATCCCTAGCTGACCATCCTGCAGAATATGTTGTTGCCACTATTGAAAATTTAGCTAAAAATGTGTAGAAATACATTTTTCATGTACATACAATTAAAATATGTAGAGATATACATTTTTTTCTTATACAATTAGATTTACAATCGAAAAATATTTTATGTACTTAAAATATAATAATTTGCTTTAAAACTAATTAGTCATCGATATATATTATTTATATCTACAATATATTTTTTACTATGTTATATAAAAATAAAATACAACATAATACTGTATTAAGCATACACTTTTTTTCTAAGTTAAGTGTACAAAAATACTCAGAGATATTAAAATAACCTCTCCTCTGAAACTTTTTATAAAGTAAATCTATTTAGTATGTTGTTATGTTATACTCATTTTAAGAAAGTGAACAAAAGTACTTTATTGATTTTTTTTTCAAGTTAAATTTCATTAAAATGAAATATTTTCTTTTCTTTTTTAGGTGTTATATATTATTAGTTACCATATTTTAAAAATTTGCTACAATTTAATGAATGATTATGTAATGAGTTGTTGATTTAGATCAGCATAAAATTTTTATAAGTATATTTTTGTTTTGCTTACTTAGCTAACTGAACAGAGACAGACATGTTTTATTTTTTATCAAGTAAAATGAATTTCTTACTTGTGGCAAGCATAGCAAGAAAAAGAATAAATTTGAAATTGTTGTCTTAATGGAGTTGAATTTCTCACTTGAGGCTAATAAAAAGTTTTAAAGGAATCAAAGCAAATGGAGTTTTTTTAAAGTCTAATGGTTTTGATTGTGTAAAATAATTTTCAAACAAAAGGCTACTAAACTCTCTACTTTTAAACATATATATTGAACCAGAGTGACATTTATAAGCATTGACCATTCAAAAATTTTATTTGAATTCTATTGTGGGTAAAAGTTGGATCAAAACTTTCAAAATGTAGGATTATCTACAACAGTCAAAGTTATTTCATTTTTTTTGTTAATAAATTTTTCAGTTGTTAAAAAATGAATATTTCTGGTCTATTGATTATTTTTAGGTGTTATTGATAAACATTCTATTAAGGTTAGACTCGAATAGAGTTTGTGCTAACCGACAAAAAAATACTTTACCCATATTCAAAAGCTTTGCAACATTTTTGGATATATAGGATTATCTACAACAGTCAAAGTTTATTGAGAAATATTTTCAAGAGTTTTTAAATATTATAGGAAACATTTATATTAACTATATGTTATTGTTAGATGCTAAGATTAAAGTAAAAATTCATGAAATATTAAATTTGAAATTTCATATTGTTGTATGATATAATAAGATCTCTGTAATTTATTAAAGTTACCAAATATTTTAAAGTAAGTGTACAAAATAATGATGACTAACTTTTTTTTAAGCAATAATTTTTTACTATCTATTGTAATCTATTGTAATCAAGGTCATCAGGTATATTAACTAAAAATCATAATAAAAATAGACTCTTAAAATTGTATTCTCTGTAGTATTAATTATAATATAATTATCACACTTTTTTAAACGATGAGACAAATTTCTTTAAAAAGTTGTTATAAATTATGAAGTAAACAACATTAACCCTTAATTATTATTTATGTTATACGTTTTGAAGGTTTGGGTATTTGCTTTCTGCATCTGAAGGGCATTAATTGTAGCTTAAAAAAGATTGTTTCTTTGTTTAAACTGTTGATAAGCTATATCATTTTTGTACAAAATCTTGTTGATAAATCATGTATTAACAAATAATATTTCAAATATTATTTAGTAATCCTCCAGCATAATACTGCTAGATTATGCATCAGATATTGTTTTTATTCTTTTATGTAAGTTCATTCTAAATCCCTTTTTTATTGTTATAGCTTGTTGTATTGTAAAAGATAAAGGGTATATTGACAACTTATACTTCATTATTTTTATCCAATTAGTTTGTTAACTAAACAATATTAAACTTGTTAAATTTACATATATAAATATATATATATATATATATATATATATATATATATATATATATATATATATAAATTTTAAATGTTGATATTTGCTAAAAAGTTTAGTTACATTAAGTTTTAAAATATAATTCCTTTTTATGGATTTAACTGTATTTGTTACAAATAGAGTTAATTCCATATAAGAGCTTTTATTTTAAATATATATATATATATATATATATATATATATATATATATATATATATATATATATATATATATATATATATATATATATATATATATATATAAACATTATGACCATTAATTTATGAATCTTTAAAACTATATTTAATTTTAAAAGTAAGGTTTTTAAATTTATATGTTCACATATATGAAATATCATTTAATTCAATTAACTTATGTCTTGCTAACAGGGTTGGAACTCCAAAAAGGGAGTCTAGGGTTTAGAATCAAATGTTCATTATTTTTTCCAAGATTCAGTTGTTTTTTAGCTCTAAAAATGTTCAGGCGTTTTAGAATTTTGTAGAGAAATACTCCCTAGAAGTTTAACAACAAAGTCAAAAGAATCTATAATTTTGAACATTGAATAAAGTTCTTGTTTAAAATGCTAAATAAGGATTCTGAGTTAAAAAGATTTTTGGATTTTTAAATTTTATGGAGTTTTTTCCGTATTTTATACTACTAATTCTGTACTACTAAAACTTCTTTCTGTACAGAGTTAAAAAGTTTTTAAGTATTTTGGGGTTTTACTTCTATGTAAGAATAGGGAACATTGTGTAATTTATATTTTATTATTTATGCATATTTTTTGTTAAAAAAATTCCAAATTTTTTTTACTTAAAGTGTACTAATTTTATTACTAGTTTTAATAATATTTGAAATATAGTTTGTTTGTTTTATTAGAAAAAGGTGTAGTTAAAGTGCTTTAGTAGTGGGAAAAGAAATGGTAAATATTATGAGCTGAAGAATGGCTAATAAAATTGTCAGGGAGGAGTAAGTTAATTTTTTTTGTTCAATTTTTTTTCAATCTCATATAGGTTGTTTGTGAAAAAAATTAATAATGAAAAATTAAAACAATTAAAAAAATAAAATATATAAGCACTAAAATAAAACTAAAAAAAGACAAACTCAAAGTAAAATTTCTTTTTGTTAAGTTTTTAATTGAATTTAAGATAAATTACTGTAAAACTTGTGTTTTAAAATGTTTTATTAAAGTTACACAAAACGCTTTCACAAATTCCAACAATTGTTTAATGAATGAACAAATTTTATTTAAACTATTAAAAAGTTATATATATATATATATATATATATATATATATATATATATATATATATATATATATATATATATATATATATATATATATATATATATATATATATATATATATTAAACTGTATAAACATTTATTTTTTCCAATAAATTGCAAAAAAAAATGTTTAAAAAAGTACCGTAGTGTATTTAAAATAGTAATTTTTAATCATTTCATGCTCTGATTAGTTAATCAAGTTAAAAAAAAAAGTTTTGAACAATTCTTTGTAAAAATACAAGCAAAAAAAAAAAAATAAAGCAATTAAATCATTCTATTGCAACGGACGATTTAATTTAACTATTGCATAATATAAAGTAACTTAAAAAATTATCTTTCAAAAGATTTTTAGAAAGGCATGGAAAAATAGTGAAAATTATATATCACAAAATGCGTGTATTTCAACAATCACTATAGTTAATTTTTTTTTTATTTAAAGCCTTCCCATATGATAAAAACTTTAAAAAAGATCGGCAATTAAAAGTTATTCATAATGTAACAATTTTTTTTATAGAATTTAAATTGTTAAAACATCAAAACTGCTGTGGTCAATTTGTGAAGAAAAAAATATATAAGCGTGGTTCGTGCAATCGCATGCCATTCCTGTCCAAGCCTGATATATTAGGGCCCTGTGAGTCAGCATTTTTAATTTTGAATGTCCAAATGAAGCAGATCTTAATTTACGGATCAAATAACGAATCGAATCAGCAATAATCTTTTTTCAACAAAAAAAATCTACTTAATAATATTTTTTGCTTGTAATTTTTTTAGCGGTTGTTTTGAAGCAATTATTACAATTATTTTTTATTACAATTATTTTACTCTGGCTGAGATAAATGAACTGAAATAAAAACATTTTTATTATTATTATTATTTCAATTTATTTGCATTTAAATAAAAATACAAAAAGGAGATACAGGTAATTGGAGAATTACTTTTATGTAACACCAAGTTTAAAACAGTAAACAGTGTCTCTGAATATTGTATGTTTTTAAATTCGATTTAAATAGAGACAATGAAAAGGAATACACCATATAATCTGGTAAAGAATTCCTTATCTTAGATATCTCTTTCACTGAAAAAAAATCTTCTTATATCATTGATGTAATTATTATGTGATGTTAATTTTTGAAAATGACATCTAGTTGAATAATGAGTAGGAGCGAGAGTAAAAAACTAATAAAAAGGCAAATCAGCTAAGTTGTACATAATCTTATAAGTCATTAAAAGATCAAATTTTATTCTCCCACATTCAAGAGAGTCAATATTGAAGATATCAAGTCTTGAAGCATAATCTTTATATGTCATACAACAGCGTTTGCAGACAATTCTTGTATAATGTTTCTGGACCTTTTCTACCCGACGTATATCTTTTAAGAGATACAGATTTTAATAGCATCTTAGCGTTGGATCTAAAATCTAATCTAATTTAAAAAAATAGCAACACTCACAAAATAAATACAGGCCTTGTTTTAAATAAAAAATGCTTAATGCATTAGCTTAACACGATATTTGAGGTCATAAAATTCTCTTTATTTTTTTATTTTTTAAAGACAATAACTTTTTTAAATTACTGCAATAATATTAATTACCGTAAAACGAGTTAAATCTTATTTAACAGCTTTTTTATTATTACTATAAAGAATGTTTATTTTCTTTTTTTTTTTTCAATATTAAATAAATTTAATATTGCATTTTTAAAAATGTTTGATATTAACAAATTTCTTTCTTTTCTCAACATTTGCATAAATGAATTAAAATATGTTAAGTTTTTGATTTTTTAAAATGATTATTTCTTAAATTTCTAATTGCGTCTTTGCAACTATAAATGATTTTTTATTTTAAAAAAATTAGCAAGTTACAAACAAAAAATTTATGTTAATTTATTTATTTTATTTATTAAAAGTTTATTATTTTATTATTAAAATTATATCAGTGTATATATCGTTTATTGAAAAAATAATCACTGCAATTTAAATTGCATTATAAATAAAAAAGTTTAACTTTTAACAAGTTTCAGATGCAGCTATTTATATAAAATTTAATTTTGATTAAAAAAAAAATGTTTAGGAAGGAAAACAGAAAAAACAACTGTGATAAAAATAAGCTGATTTTTTTTAAAAACAAATAAAATTTAAATATCGAACAATATTTAGTAATATTTTAAAATAGATTTGACAGTTAAGTTAAACCCAAGCATGAACTTTCATTTTGAGAAACTTGAATATATTTTTTTAATCAAAATTAAGTTATATATTTTTAAAAATCTAAATTAAATTATATATTTTTTCTATCAGAATAAAATTATATATTTTTATTAAAATAGTTTTAAATTAAATCATATATTTTTTATTAAAATAGTAACAAAAATTTTTTAACAAAATAAAAACAAAATAAAAGTAAATTTTTAATTTTATTTGATATTTTTTCATTTGTAAATAGTGCTTATATCAAACATAATTGTTATTCAAACTTTTGTAACAATTATTTTTGCATAAACGTCATTCAAAAGTAAATGTGACTTTTTTTAAAATTAATTACTTCTTTTATCTTACTGCTTATAGAATAATTAAAAAGTTAAAAAATGATAAAAAGTCACTTAATCAAACTTGCTTACTGCCTACGTAAAACTGCTTAAGACTGTTTTACGTAGGCAGTACGTAATTGCTTTATGCAAATTGCTCTACTCATAACGCTTTAAAACAAGGCCTGTAAATAGTGATTTGAAAAAATCCTGAATTTTCGAATCAAATCCTGAATCGAAGCAACACTTAATTTGCAAATCGAATCGATTTGCAGAGTTCAAATATATATATATATATATTAGGGCTGTACCGGATTTCGGCTCCGGCTCCTGCTCCGGCCAAAATCCTGCCATTTTTACAAATCCGGCCCAAATCCGGCTCCGGCAAAAATTTAGCAAATCCGGCATAATTTTAGCTGGAGTTTTGAATTTTGTCAAATATTTATTACATTTTTTTTGCCCGTGTTTACATGTATACCTAATATTTTATTTATATAAATCAATTTTTTTTGTAATTCTATATTTTATGAACCTCATATTTGTTTTGGTATTTGTATTTATATTTCTTTATAATTTAATAAGCTTAGTCTAATTTCAAACAACAACGCAACAAAAAATTCTGAAGGGAAGACACACGATATTCTACAATGATGCAGGTATAAAGACTATGATGTCAACCCTAATCAAGTGATTGGATGAGCGTTTTAAAAGCATTGAAAAAAGAAACCTCTTTATATACTGACGAGGCTGGTTGACTCACAATTTAAAACTAAATTCTCCTCATTACAGGCAACACTGACAGCTGAAAAAACAAGATTGAAGTCAATCTGAGCATGCAGAACAGAAAATTGACAAAACTGAAGAAAATCCACCAAAATAAGCCGGGCTTAATAATTTTTCTACATCATCATCATCATTACTCTGGCAATTTATTGATAAAATTATTCAGTCTACGTCCGCTGGTGGCAGGGCACATAAACAACAATTACTAAAAGGCATTAAAACTCAACTAAGGAAATATCCGAAAGAACCAGAAATCTTTCTTTTTGCAAATTAAACTTAGGATTTTTTTTTTTTTTGGTGATGTTTCTTGGGCTGATAATTTTCTTCACTCTGCTGAAAACTGCCCATTATAAGTATTCACCTGGGTTCAAGCTGATATGAAAGCTTTTTCTTATCAGTTACAAATCTCACTCTAAGCTATTCTACTTTTTCTTTTTTTTTTTTTCTTTTTTTTTTTTCTTTTTTTTTTGACTTTTTTTTTCAACTCTTTTTACTTTTTGTAAAGCTGCTATTTTTAATCTTAGTAGTTCCTTTCAACTTTTCATCTTTTTTTACTATAATTATTATTTGAAGAAATTTTACTTAGTAATTAGTCAGCTTTACATGAATGAAAACTTCAGTAATTCTAATTCTTTTATTCACGTAAATCTGAGCATTCAGCATTTTCAACTAATAGGCTCCTATTTTCTTTCCTGCTGCATTGCATCTCTGGTTCTAAATTTTTTAAACTCCAGAGATTTATCTGATTCCTCCAACATCATATAAGCAAAGTCTTAGAATTTTTAAATAATCAACTTTTAATATATCGTCTTGAGTCTAAAGAATTACTCTCTAACAGATTTTAATTTTCTCTTTTTGCTGCTGTCTCGTTAACCCTGACAACATAGCTGTCTTGTTAACCCTGATAACATAACATTTGTGTTGTGCATTACATAAAGGGGTGAAACAAGCTCCATTGTTCTTGACATATCAAAATTTTTTTTTAAAGCTTGTTAGTATTCCTTAAACTCTTTGCATATGGTGTATCTAGGAAAGTTTTAATAATTAATAAATTATTTTTTTCTAATTGAAGTATTCAAGTCAAACTTGATGGTTGTTATTTTCATTTCTGGTAACTTCTGGGGTGCAAAAAATTTTTATCCTCCAATCTTGTTGTTCATCATCCTCCTGTTTTGTTGTTTTATTTATGTTAATGATCTTGCTATTAATCCTATAAAGTTACTTTCACATAAAAACAACTAGTCTCAGTTATGCATAAAATGTTGATTTGTTTATTACACTCCCCTTGGTCACTCACGACCACCTAACCTTATGGAATATAATGCTCAGGTGCTTTTCTTTTTTGTATACTCCTTTGTAATATGGGTGTCTTG